GAAGTATGACTAGAGGGGTCGTGCGTGGTAGAAGCAAAGAATGGAAGATGCAGAGATAAGGCCTTGTGGATACAACGATGCACGTATTTCGGCGAGAATCCAGCGCCCAGCCGGGTGGTTCCGTCATCACGGTCAGATAACTCACATTGCATGACATCAGCAGCCCAAACGCGAGCTGCCACCCAACGTGGCAGAGGACAATTGAGAGCTCACACCCACCTCGACACCCAAATTCGTAATTAGAACCCGGCTGGTAAACGACCGGACGGCAATACATCTTCTTGCCTGGACGCAAAGATACATTTGGCGCTGGAGAAAGGCCTTTAGATGATGTTCCTTCATTTTGACGCAAATGAGAGCTGTGATAATACGGGGGGAAAAAGGCATTCTACACTTTGGTGGCGGATAGGGAACGACCTTACCCTCACCGGCTTGCACGCAGGATTGACCCCCATTCTGAAAAAGGCCATCACATTCATTCAAGAATACCAAACCATTGGCTTAGTCCGGTCCAGATGATGCCATCAAAGGCTGACGGGTGAGGCCCACAAGTTGGCAAACGGGCATCACACACTCATCCGAGTGAAAGTGTTTACCCTTCATAGACATGACTAGACTAACAAGCAGACTCAGAATCCGTCAAAACCCGATTTATTTTAGGCTTGCGATCGGAATGTCACGGAGCGGTGCGACGAGCGGCCGATCGTCTTCCACAATAGCATGTGCGAAGCCAACGCCCCCGGCAGTACCCAGTTCTGGTTTCTTCCGCTGCTCTGGTTAAAATAGTCGCCAAGGAGGAAAAAGGCCTGAGGCCTGTTAAACCTCCCCACACACGCGGCGGGATTGATTGTTCGTTGCACCAAAGATCACTTTTTCTCCCGGTGCAGTCAGCAGTTCTCCCATATCGGGTAAAGGTGAGTACGGGCGAAGCACAAGCGCCCGAAGAATACATGCCTAAGGCCTGTGAGAGAAGCCCACGTTGGCATCGCACCGCAAGGAAAGTGACACGGGCAAAAATGTCTGAATACTCAGGATAGGGGGAGCGTGGTGGGGAAAGAGACACGATGCGGAGTGAAAAAACAAATGGTCTTCTTAGGGCAAGGGATTCCCATTGGACTAATGGTGAGGATCCGAGAATGGATAGAGTGGCTCTTCATCTGGATTGGCTTGATCGCGAGACACGATGAGTTGCCGACACAAGCAAGAAAAAGTGCACAAAGAATCACCGAGAAACACCGCGCAGAAGTCTGTGGCATGTTGGCAGAACTCGAAGACGGAGAATACCGGTAGCAGGATGGTCGCTCGTTCGGTTCCGCTTGGAAGCACCCGGGGAACGCGGGGTGCTCTTCGCTTACCTGTGGTACGAAAATGCCCAAAGGACATCTCTAAGAACGATCGTGCAGAGGCCGCTGGCACGCAAATCGGACCTTGTGCGGTTCCGACCAGGCACTGCGGAGAGTCAAAGACTCTGATCAACTTGGCTCTCCATTTACCACGTTTGGATACCTCAATTACCATATCGGGGAAGGGATGAACGGAAGGCAACGATGATGATGAGATGGAAATCCGCGAGAGACGAGCTGATGATGCGTTGATCCGCGAGGACATGCCAGAAGACGTGCCAGGCTGCAGACAAACCGGACCGAACAGCCTCGTGTGGTTTTCAGGCACCAACCCGCCCTCACAGGCCTTAGGCCTGTTTACCGACGTTCTTCCACGTCCATTTACGTCGATCGTGTGCAGGGTTTCCATGTCCACATTGACGTTTAGCACGCTCCCAGATGACCCCGATTGCGTGAACATGGCGAGCAGGGAAGATCACGGAGCATGGGAAAGGCAAAAAGAGGCTAGCTAATGGTCACCCATCGAGTCACAAGCACGCCGTCGAAGCCATCTTCCGCTTTCATTGTTGAGAGGGTCAGGTCAGGCGGCCGCATTCGACTCCCCTTGCAGCACAGGCAATCAGTTGCACGGGACCCATCCCTCAGAAGCGGCTTTACTAAATCATTCCATGATCACAAAGCAGCCAGGGAACACGCTAGAACAGAACAGGTGTGAATGCACAGGTTCTCAGACAGGCCCTGCCACCGTCTATGTTTGTCCATCCCTCGTCTGAAGCAAGAGGGGCCAAAAAGAAATCCAGAGAAATCGAACAGTACCGAACAATATATACCCCATCTCTCACATTCTCCAACTTGTTCGCACGAAAGCACAGAGATAAAACCTACCCCTGCTTCGGGTTAGACCGCTCTCACGAAAGGAAAGTGGGGAGCACCTGATGTCGTCAGCGAAAGGAAAGGCCTCGTCGCATCAACGGTACGCACCCCGTGATAGTGTGATTCTGCGTGTTCGTAGGACGAGTACAAGTCGCACTGCGCAGAATCCGGAGGGACATCGCCGACTACGACACTTAAGGAAGGAAGGAGCCAACAAACCTCAATGGGAGAAACCCACGCGCTCACGGGGTGACATTACTTCAGCCAAACCGCGGGTATTTTCCACTCTGTTGCCGCACCATCAATCCCGAATCCCACCAGCAGATTTTGACTTGCAAAGCACCCGGGAAAGGATGTTCAAGTCTGTGCTTCTCTTCCATCCATTCGAACTCTTTGGTGTAACCGTAATTTCAATCTCTTGTTTGTTGCTGGGTGTCTCCTACCTGGGGCACCCTGCTTCACGGTCTGGTTTTTCGTCCTCTGGAGCGCTCTGGATCGGTAGGCTCGGGCTGGGCCCAGACGCATCCGAGACGTCTCGAGTGGATCCTCAGGAACACCAGCTTTATGAGCCATCAATAACCCCAACGGTGCTGGATGCACGCCGATGGGAGGGCTAGCTCTCATTGCGCTCGCACATGACCTGCCACCGCGCCACACGCCTTTTGCTTCTCTTGCAAACTGGTCAGTACGCGGGCAGCATTGTTGGAGCCAGATCCATGCGGCACTTTCTGCGGTGGTCCCGCCAGGGAGCTATTTCTCCGAAATGAAGGTGGGCTACGTGACCACACTCACGCGAGGTCACCATTTCTG